TTTAGTATTCGCTTCATTTACTGATTTGGGGCTTCATTTGTTCTTCTTTTTCAAGTTCCTTTAGGTGTATTTTTCGATTGTTTATTTGAGATTTTTCTTGTTTTTTGAAGTAGGCCTTTATTACTAAACTTCCCTCTTAGTAGTGCTTTTGCTGTATCCCACAAATTTTGCTATGTAGAATTTTCATTTTCATTTGTCTCCCAGGGTTTTTGAGTTATCCTTTGATTTCTTCATTGATTCAATAGTTGTTCAGTACCATTTTGTTTAATCTCCACATATTTGTGACTTTTCCTGTTTTCTTCTGGTAGGTAGTTGATTTCTAGTTTCATAATGCTGTGGTCAGAAAAGATGCCTGATATTATTTCAATCTTCTTAAATTTTTTGAGATTTGTTTTGTGGCCTAATATGTCATCCATCCTAGAGAATGTTCCATGTGTATTTGAAAAGAATGTGTATTCTACAGTTTTTGTGTGGAATGTTCTACATATGTCTACTAAGTCCATCTGGTCTAATGCGTCATTTAAGGCCAATGTTTCCTTGTTGATCTGTCTGGATGATCTATCCATTGATGTAAGTGGAGTGTTAAAATCCCCTACTATTATTGTGTTACTGTCCATTTATCCTTTTATGTCTGAATATATATCTCTTAAATTCTGAAGTTTAGGTGTAATAATGTCAGATAAAGTAAGTACAGACTAAATATAAGTTATTATTATTAGTTATATTGATGTTGGCTTATGGTTATGCCTCTGCATCAAGCAGAGTGCCTAGCATATTATAAATGGTTAGTAAATATCTATACAAAAGATGAATAAAGCATGATGTTTAAAATGAAAATAAAAGCTTAATTTTCATTTTCATCAATAGAATCATATCATTACAATAAAAGTATTCCTAGTTTAATGGAGAATCAGGTATATAAATAAATAATTAATATATTAGTTCTACCTTAGATTTACTCAGTATATATTTTATGAAATATTTTCTGTGGATCAGCTATTGCTCTCGGCACTGAGGATTCAGCAGTAAGTAAAACAGATTGAGTCCTTTCCCAAATGGAGTTTACATTCCTTAGGGAAGACACATACTATGTGAATAAACAATCAAATATGTAACATCCATTGGTGATAAATGTTATGAAGAAAAAGCTGTATAAGAGACTGGAGTCCAATAGGATAGTCAGGAAGTGGCATTGTACATGATGCTGTCAGGTGCCTTGTGGAATAAGAAAAGGCATCCCAACAGAGGGAATAATTACATTGATTTTTGAAGATGAGTAGGAGCTCATTATAAAAAGTGAAGAGCATAGCATCTGAGGTGAAGGAGCAGCAAAGATAAAGGCAAATATTTGAGAAAGATTATAGATTATTTAGGTAATTACACATGTTAATTCAGTCAGTGCTTATTGAGCTTCATATCTGGTGGACCAACTCCATGTTCCATACTCTTCTGCAAATTGACTTTCAACAGAATTATCTTAGATTTTTTCCATATCAGCACATTGAGAGCTGCATCATTTTCTTTGTAATAGTAGCATTTGTGTCATCCCAAGACACATAAGAAGCCGTTTTAAACAAAGGGCTTTTAACAAAGGGACCAAAGGGTGAGGAGAGGCTCTGAATCCTAGGAATCAGATAAGAATATATGAGAAGGTACAGCCATAGTGACAGCGACAAGTGACAAATGATGACTACAGACTTTAGAAAATGAGTAAAATGGGATATATACATTAAGAAGCTAGCAAAAAGCAGTTACCAACTGGATATAGAGATGAGAGAAAAGACATGGAAAGCCTCTACAAATCCTGACCCGAGTGGCTGTATGGAACACGGTGCCATTATCAACCAATTGGACCATAGAATTCATATGCTTTCTATAACCCATAGAAAGGTGTTTGGCAGAAACATAGCTAAACACATATCTCTAGGTTCATAGCTAAAGCCATAGATAGATCCACAGCTTCTACCCAGTCCTACACATTTTGGAGACCAGGAGTTACATTTGTTGAATATGTTTAAAAAAGAAAAAACCTTTTTATTCAGTCTTTGAAAATTGATCAGGTATGTTGAACTTTTATCCTATACACATATATGATAAAACATTTGCTAAACTATTCCTTCATATTAATAGAGCATTTTTCATTGACTAAAGAGTTTTATATTGATTTTTATCATTAAATTGCCTATGACCAATCTGAGTTCAGTAAGGAGATGTGATTATGACCATTACGTCTCTAAAACACTTCTCAGTGGAGGTAAGAAATTTTACTTTCTGCATCCATGTTTCAAGATATTATTCTCCCTCCAGCGGCCGGCCAGTGGAGAGCTGGTTAAGTTTGCGCTCTCCACTTCAGTGGCCAGGGGTTTGCAGATTCAGATCCTGGGAACACACTTAGCACTGCACATGAAGCCATGCTGTGGTGGCATCACGTATAAAATAGGGGAAGATTGGCACAGATGTTAGCTCAGGACCAATTTTCCTCACACACACACACACACACACACACACACAGGCATTATTTTCCCTCCAATTCTGTCCTTTAATATTAATCCTAGATCCTAAGTTATGCAATCCCTATTCACTAGCATATCAGCGATACACCTAACACTATTATGCCTTCTTCAAAATTAGGACATATATCTTTAATCAGGAGATTTCCAACCTTCCTTACCTTCAAAAGAAATGTGTATTCTAACGGCTTACTGATACAATAGATATAAACAAACATTCTCCCAACAGAACTATTTAGTGACCTCAATTTAGAAATGTGCTGCATGTTCCTGGTTTCCAATTCTTTAATAATCTAGCCAACAACAGAAGCATAGCTTTTGCAATTTGCTTCTAAAAGCCATGACATTCAGGAAAATCACTAATTATGTTTGAGCAAAAATAAAATTTAATAGCATCTGGACAGTTCAGATCAAAAATCAAAAAGACCTTCAAATAAGGCCAGCATTTAAACGTACATGCAGGGTATGCAAGGTTATATCTATTAGGATGTACAGTCTGTCTGGAGAAAATTGTGTTGAGCAATCGTGTATTATATATTCTAAGTAATGATTCTCTAAAAGCCTCACAATGTTTTTATATGTTCATCAGGGAAAGCTTTATATAGATTTACACCCCTTAAAGTGCACATGTAAATGTTCAAGTTGCTTCATATGTTGTTAAATTTTAGACAATGGAAAATGAAAGATCAAAGATATACATCATAAAGAATAGTAACTACCATTATCATTATTATTAATCCACAAGGATCATTCCACTGCACTTTTTGGTTAACAAATAAAATAATTATCAGAAGAACTCCTCTATTTTATCCCAGGTATTTAGAACATACTAAGCTTTATGTATCACTGGCACGATTAAATGCGTGCAAAAGGGATGTGCTAGAGATTCTTTGAATCAACACCTTCCAGTTTAATGGCACTTGGCCACGTATTTACTCTGGTTCTCATGTCATCCTGAGAAAAATATGTAAGGCACATGCTCTGTAAGTCCCTGGGCCCTTGATCTATAAATTCTTCTCTTTCTTTATTTTCCTTTTGCTTCCCTTTTTGGCTTTCTGATCTGAAATCTAAATTACAGTGTAGGTAAAAAGGTAACAGTTTTTCTGTGAGAAATTGTTCATACAGTAATGTTCCTCCCTTAGGTTTACAGAAAAATAATAAGAATTTCTCAAGGGGTAAGTAGTGGGGTCCAAGTGTGAACTTAAGTGGATTCAGACATGTCTGGCCATGTCAGACAAACCGGTGAAACAGGCTGCTCTGGTACACTTTAAAAGTTAGCTAGGAAAGTTTCTAGAGGGGGATTCAATCTGTGTTCACTGTTGATGTTCCAGGAAGCTTGTTCCAAGTGGTGAACTGATGGAATAAGCCTAAAAGAAAGTTACTCTGGAGAGACTGAAAACTTTTCTAGGAGAGAATAAATCTTGAAAGAAGAAATAGACAGCTTCCTTGACCTTGACTGAGTATGGAGCCAGAGTTGGTAGCCACGAGAAACTTTTATGAGTAAAAGATTTTGTGTTTTACTAGGGTTTGATTTTGTACCATTATCTATTCATGAGAAGATCTATAGAATATTAAGACCCCCTCTAACAGAGTATAAAAAGAAATCACAAAATGCCCCCCAACCCCTATTTTCCATAGAACGCTGTACTCTAGTGTGTCATGGCACTGCTAGGTGGATCAGCCTTATAAGGGACAATGACCCTCAGTAGATGCCACTATAGAAGTGTCATTTCTGCCCAGGAAATGAGCGATACTTCCCCATCTCCTCTCCTGCTCCAGAACAACAGTTGGAAGAAAGCAAATTCATGGCTGGCAAGACCAGAGATACCAAAAAGAGATTCAGCGGGGGAAAGGATGAATAAGCTGAGTGTAGAAGATATTTAGGACAGTAAAAATACTCTGTATGATATTATAATGATGGATACATGTCATTTCATATTTGTCCAAACCCATGAAATCTACACCACCAAGAATGAACCCTAACGCAAACTATGGACTTCGGGTGGTTACGATGTGTCAATGTAAGTTCATCAATTGTAACCAATGAACCACTCTGATGGGGGATGCTGATAATAGAGGAGGCTGTGGGTGTGTGGGAGCAGAGGGTATATGGGAAATCTCAGTACCTTCCTCTCAGTTTTTTTGTGATTCTAAAACTGCTCTAAAAATATTGTCTTTAAAAAAGGAAGATATTCAGCTAACAGCAATGTTACACTGAAGAATGCACTTGAATGTACATGTGAGAATTACATAGTTCTTAGTAATCCCATGAACACTTGAGGGACATTTGAAGGGGCTAATACCCTAAGTAGACAGGGCAAGTTATTTTCATTTAGTGTTAATATGACACCCTATATGTTCTCAAGCTTGTATATATGGAGAACTAGAAACATTTCATCATACTATATCACATAGCCACAGACCTCCCTGCTTCATAAGTACAAGTTTATATCAGTTGCAAAAGATGTTAAAATAATAAAAATAAAAACATCAAAAAGAACCAAAGTATTTATATCATGAGTAACCAATTTACTAGACAGAAGTAAATACAAGTTTTCTCTAGGATCTTGCTAGGAAGACGACATCATAGTAATGGTGGCAAAAAAAACTAAACCAAAAAGAGGATATCAGACTAGAATGGTTTTACACATTGAATCTGCATTTAGATGGTAGGTTCTGGAGGTAAAAAGTCACCAAATATTCATAGAAGCAGTTTAACCATAATAGTCATCAATCAATTGATCGCAGAGAAAATAAGATGGATGATTGGGGATTAAAGCACAAGATAGGACAAAAGAAGTCAGAAGGTTTTTCTCTCTGCATCCAACTTCAGCAATTTTTCAGTAGAAGCTAGAGAATCCATATCCTCCATAGAAGGATGGGCGGTGGCATCTGTAACCGAAGCCTCCAGAGCCCAGTCTGTGGAAGCTGCCACACCCAGAACCAAAGCTAGAGCCCAGTCTGTGGAAGCTGCCACATCCACAGCCATAGCCATGGCCCAGCTCACTGGAGCCTCCAAAGCCATAGCCCAGGCCTCTGTAGTAGTCGCTGTAGTGGCTCATGGTGTCAGGAGTGGTGAGTTGTTTGCTGTTCAATGCAAAATTCAAAGTGTGAATGTCGACATCTTTATAGTGAGGCTTATATACCCTGATCAGAGAATGTGATAAAACACATGCCCCTCCTTTAGTATCATTCCATGAGTTACACTTGCCTGAGACAACCCATTAATCTATAGTCCCCTGACCACAGACTCATTAAGAATGTCTTGAACCTGCTTGGCTCCCTAATTAGGTTGGTCCTGAGCTGGTTGCTTTAATTTTGTTAGAATGAATTGCTGTTTCTCCAAAGTATAGACATACCAATCCCTAAATAGAATTCTTTATTACCAGTCACTTAACATCAGTTACATTAAATATTGTTGAATTTCTAATTAAATATCTTCTCATCACTGGTATTTGAGGGTGGTTGTAATTGATTCTACAAAATATTGAGAAATAATCAAAGTTAAGACTCAAATTTATTACTTTCTTCAAAAGACATATTTTTTGCACCATGAGAGGCAAAGGATACACCTTTTTATAAAAGAACACCTTAAGTTTAAGATTTGGCTCACCTTCCATGTATAACAGAAAACAACACCAACAAAAGCTCACCTGACTTTGAGAGTTTTAGAAATTTGACCATGTGCAATTGATAGATTTACTTTTAGCTTTACACACCATCATACTTGAATTGGTTTAAAAACATAGCAGAATTGGAATCAGAAGTAGAGAGACCATCACAGTGATTGAAAATCCATCTTGTGGGAAGCCTTTCCACAGTTCTCTTTTTGTATGCTAGGCTCTTTCTTCAGAATAAGTTCTAGTCTCACCACTACTACAAATTCAGATTATACTTCCCTCCATATACTATTTTCTCTCTGTCTCTACCCTCTACCATTTATCCATGTATCATATCTTTTTAAAATCTCATGTTAAAATTCACTCAACTTCCTTCCTCCATGACTCATTGCTACATCCAGGGAAAAGTGTGAAGTGGGTAAATCGTTCTAGCTCCACCTATATACTCAAATCAACGTGGCAATTCCTTGCCTCTAGATATTCATAGTCAATATAATACATTTACCCGTATCTTCTCTTTACCTAGTTTCTGCCCATTTTTTGTTTTCAAGCAATTTCTAAGTAACTTTTCCTAAGATATCAACTAAAGATTTCTAAAATATTGATAATATTTTACTTGTTTAAAACACATTTCAACTCCTGAGGTTATCTGAAATTTTAAAAACCCTCATACAAACTGGAATACTTAGTAAATTCTCTAAATGTATAGCACAATTGTAAAAATGAGCAGAGAATAAGGAGACACTCTTTGGAGACAGTTGGCCTGGTATTCACAGAGTCCCTCTGCTCAGCCCAGAGAGTTAGTTACCAATACCCAAAGCCGACCCACAGCTTACTAAGCCCTATGCAAATGTGCCCATATCTTGAATCTTGGGACTCAAGAAACTTGTTTTATATGACTTTAACCATATTGCTAAGCTTTTACTGAGATTTATAAGTAATATTTGGACGACATTTTTTCGGTGGATTTTTTCATTGACCTGACAGTATCTAAACAAAACCTAGCATTTAGTTGGCACTCAACAATATTTTTTGAAAGAATTATATGACTTTAACGGATATTAAAACAAGGACTGTGCATATCATAACCTAAGAAACTCATTGGCTCTTCTAAGAAATATTTTCAGGCTGACATGAGTTCCAACAGGTCTTCTGATTTCAAAGTGGCATTTAACCCAATATTAGCCTTTAATCTTCATACTACTCTAACCCAGCTTCATTCTATTTTTATTTCTCATTTCAGAAAATGAGCCAATGATAAAATGAATGTTGTTATTTTTAGTGAATCGTTTAGAAGTATGAACAAATTACATAGAATTAAAGATCTCACATTCTTCTTGTGTGGCTCTGTCAGAGCATATGACCATGACTAACGGCTACTTTTTCAAATGCATGATACTGTTTCTGTGTATAGAAGCAATATGAGAACTTGTATAGAATAACTATGAAACTTATATCAATAACAAGTGAAAAACTTCAATAACAATAAATGCTAAATGCGCTTTCAAAGAAGAAAACACACGACTATGGTATGCATCATTTATAAATGTGCATTAGCTGTAAAAACAATAAAAACATTTTGAAAAATATGGAAAAAATCTTCTTTTTTCCCTATGTGCACAAGCAAGAAAGTCACATTGGAAATTTCTTCAGAAGGTTATCATTTTTCTGTCCATTCAGTGGATCAAAAGCAGATTTAGATCATTACAACTTTTTAAAAAGTTTTAGCTCATGACCCAGGTTTCTGTTCATGTTGATGCATGGAGGAGAAAAAAATGTTCTCACGTTTTCTCTGGAAGTAAAGAAGTCTTTTGTTACAGATTCAAAACATTTTCTCTCACCTTAGATACAGATCAATACAAGCTTAAACAGAACAAAATTATGATAATATTGATTATACTAAGAACGTCAACAGCAGTAGTAATTGTATTGATTACTGCTTGTCAGCCCCATGGAATCTGTCCCTGGAGATATTAACCAAATGAAAGGAAAAAGAGAAATCTTGTCCTACTGGGTCAAACTACCCTGTCCAATCCTTCAATGGAACAACCTGGCTCTGTTTCCCCTGCTCAGCCCACTGTGATGCTACATAATACCACCCTGAGATAGCATTGCCTGAAAGAGGAGGTCATGATGGGCTTGTTGTTGTTGTCTTACCTAGAGTTAAGTTTTAACGTTACTCATTGTTTAGCCATATTCAAAAGCGGATAAAACAGAAATTGAGAGGTACAATTCCCTATATCAGAACAATAAAAATGTTAAAGAAACATAGATGTTAACCTAAGTAAAGGTACTAATTTCCATAAAATCAGTTGTGATAATTTAGCTCTTTTTATAACCATGGCCAGAGCTTTCAAAATGATTTATCTGACGACATTCAAGGTGAAAATACATAAAGAGAGAGACAGTATAGCATAATTGAATACCTGAGGCTCAGAAAAGCAGGATTCTGACCCTAGTCTTGCTACTAATTAATTCTCAGGGAAAATCACTTATTCTGAGATTGTATGCCTGCAAGATTATAGTGCAGCATTTCAGAGTTTTAATGTCCCTTTCAGACTTTAATTCTATCATTTCATTTTTGTCCTTTATTTTATTACACTTTTCCAGCTTATACCAAATATCATTAGGTTCATATCATTACCTGAAGATACCATTTAGTTTAAGGAAAACAATTTAGGAAATCCAATATTTTACCCATCCTATTCCTTATTTCTTATGCTGCCAATCAAATAGTATTTTAATTAATTAATTAATTTTGCTAAGGAAGATTTGCCCTGAGTTAATATCTGCTGCCAATCCTCCTACTTTTTTGCTGGAAGAAGATTAGCCCTGAGCTAACATCTGTGCCAATCCTCCTCTATTTTTTGTAAGTGGGACACCTCCACAGCATGGCTGGTGAGTGAAGTGGGTCCATGCCCTGGATCTGAACCCGTGAACATGGGCCATGGATGTGAAGCGCAGAACTTTAACCATTCAGCCACGGGGCGGGGCCTAAAATATTACTTTTGAAGGGATGATTTTAACTGAAATTTTTCTTTTCATAATCTAAAAAGAAATTATTGACTGGTACTCTTGTACAGCTGAAACGACTTTCATTTCCAGTTTATCAATGACTTTTAGGTCAGCCTTATTTTATATACACAACAAACTAGATGAAAACAGAAGATTATGAATAAAGGAAGATAATATATAATTCAAAGATTCATAGAAAAATAGAGGTTACTTTCTCTAAAAATTTAGAAATATGGATTATAAGATTGTGGAAAGAAAGTTTGCTCTTGTTACAGTTTTAATGACATGGATGTTTAGCAACCATAAATAGATATATCTAACACCACTTGTTTTTATTTAAAAAAATGGAGAAAATCAAAATTTTTGAAAGAGGCAAACGATCAAGTCCAAATTTTGAATTCCATTAATAAATAGAAAGAGATAAAATATGAGATATGTAAAATAATTATGTTTCTTAAAATATATAGAGATTTAAAGCTCCACAGTTGATTTTTTTCTTGTCAAATTCAATTCTGAAAGGTATGTGACTAAAATAAAGAAAAAGAAAAACACTTTAATTGTTTTGAATTACTAATTCTCAAACTCAAATTCTTTTTTATATGTTAATATGTATATACATATGAATATATCATTGTGTGTATTACTTCTAATTGACAAATAGTAAAATTTACATGTAAGTATGTACAAATAATTGAGTCAAATGAAACCCAGAAAAAGCCATATTTTCTATTTCAAATTAGGCCGTTTATTGATATCTAATATACATCATTTCTTAGTGCCCAAGCTGAGGACGCCAGCAGACATGATGCCGACATGCTTACAATAATAAATTCTCTGAAATTCTTAGATTGCTCTCGCTAAATTGGCCCAGGGTAGTCTCCGTCCTCCGATTGAAGAATGTTGTGCAAACGTACTCATAGTAACAGATTTTGCATAACTAGAGCTGTGGTTCAGAAGAAGCTGGAGAATCCAGATCCTCCATAGCATGATGGGCGGCAGCAGCCATATCCGAAGCCTCCAGAGCCCAGTCTACGGAAGCTGCCAAATCCGGAGCCACAGCCATAGCCCAGTCTGTGGAAGCTGCCACATCCAGAGCCACAGCCATGGCCCAGTCTGTGGAAGCTGCCACATCCAGAGCCACAGCCATAGCCCAGGCCACCAAAGCCTCCAATGCCGTAGCCCACTCCTCCGTAATAGTTGCCGAAGTGGCTCATGATGTCAGGAATGGAGAGTTGGTTTGCTGTTCAAGGCAAGATCCTGAGTGCGGATGTCGACATCTGTACAGGTGTGCTTATATACCCTGAGTAGAGCATGTGATCAAACACGCCGCCATTCTTTTGTATCATTACAAATTATTCATTTACTTGAGGCAACTCATTAATCTCTTTGCTGACAGGAGAGGCGCACACCCATTAACATTTTTGAGCTTGCTTAACTGCCTAGTTAGAAAGCCCTTGAACTC